CCAAATGGGACCGTTAATTTTTATACTGTACTTCAACGACGTGCATCTGGTCATCGAAGCTCCTCGGTTATCATTTGCAGATGACCTCAAAATCTTTATACGAATCGGCTGTTGATAAGGCGTCAAGAAGTTCAGGGTTCATTTTTAGGATAGCTAAAAACTTCACTGATATCTACTGTCTAAAATCTCTCTATTGTTCGCTTGTTCGATCGACGCTTGAGTATTGTTCAGCGGTTTGGAACCCAAACTACAACAACAGTGCCGAGAGAATTGAATCTGTTCAACGTCGCTTTCTTCGTTTTTTATGTTATGACCATGCTTGAATGTATTTTTCTTTTTACCATAGTTGATAAGGTTAACATCATTGAGGCGTCATCCAGCCTGTTGATGTAAAACAACAATAAACAATAAACAATAAACTACGGACGATGCAGAAAGGATGGCTGGCGAGCTAAAACGTTTCTTATGAATGTATTTCTATGGACATAGAACAAGTTAAGTTAGAGCTTGACTCTAAGATTGCACAATTAAATTTAACTTTAGTAAACTTTACTAAAACTCCTAGAAGGATTTATAGTAAAAAAAAATTGATTGATAAAGCGAAGCAAATTAAAATTATTTACAATTATATTAATGATTTATTAGCGCAAAATGAATCAAAATTTGCGAAATCCGAACAAAATTTTTACATAAAAGGAGCAGGCAATAAATATAGTGATATCGTACAAATCATTAATGAAAAATTAAAATTCGCTAAAGACACGGTATTAAATATTACAACCGTTACCTTTATATTATTTTTTATACCAAATTAAAACATAGGATTAATCGAAAAAAATATTTAAGCCCAAGATGGCAAACGTAGACATAACAACAGAGGCTGAATTCCCTTTTTGGACTCTATTAGGGGAAGGAGGGGCATAGTGAACAGGTGGGGCATAGTGAGCATCCCGCAGTTTGGCCCTGGATCTCTAGCTGCATGAAACAAATCAACTGGTAGTAGGTTCAATATAATTATGATATTGATCCTACCACCAATAAATTTGTTCCGAACGACCGGAAGTCCAAGCTGGTGCACGGGATGCTCACTATGCCCCACCTGTTCACTAGCCCCTCTTACCCCTACGTTTTTTTTCGACTTAGTCGACAACGCTAACGCGGAGGCCACCGCAGCGATTAAAGCTGCCGCTAAAAACATTGCCACTCGATTCGTGAAAACACGACTAACGGGTGCTGCCAGGCAAGTAGTACCTGAAAATGCTACCTATGAAGATTTGGTAGCAGCATTGAAAGAGCATTGCTCTCCAAAAATCACAGCCGATAACATTTTGGCAAGGTTACAAAATTTTAAACAAACTTCCACCACAGAAGCATTTATGATGACGTAGAGAAATTAACTTTACAGCTAAAATCAGTCTATATCAACAACAAAATTCCAAATGATGTAGCTGATCAAATGGCAACAAAAGAGGCGTTGAATCACTGATCAACGGCACCAAAAACAGAGACACAAAAATCATACTAAAGGCTGAAACATTCAGCCAAATTAATTACGCAATCCAAAAATTCATGGAAAACGACGTGCCAACTGATAATGGAAATAATTCCATTTCTTCAAATGCACAAGTATTCGTTGCAAGCAGAGGAAACCGTTCAAGAGGACGAGGTAGAGCTAGTTACAGAGGACGAGGAAATTATTATCAAGTAAATAATTTCTATACCAACCAATTTCAACGGAATATTAGATTTTAAAATCACTTTTCCAACCGTGGAAATTTTTAAAATAATCGTTTCCCAAATCAAAGGGGAAACTTTACTCAGCGAGGCCGGTTCGCACCGAACATGTTCTTTGCCCAACATAACGGTGTTGCATATCACCCAGCAGTACAGCAGGGAATTCAACTACCGATGCAACAACCAATGCAAATTCCACAGCAACAACATGCGACACATCTACCACAAGGAAATATCCACCCTTTAGGGATACAGTTAGGGCAGCATACACAATAAATGTAGCTGCCACCAATTATGTTCAGCAAATGGTCGATATGGCGGTTTCACAGCGTACTTTTATTGTTGATTGTGGATCTGATATATCGGTCATTAAAGCTGGAGATGTAAAAAGAACTCAAATATATTATCCCAGTCAAAAATGTGGTATACTCGGAATAGGACAAGGAAATGTGAGTACGATGGGTACTACCCAATCAAATATAATAATAAATAATATTGAGTTACCGCATACTTTTCACATTGTTGGAAATGATTTCCCAATTCCCACCGATGGAATTCTTGGGAGAGATTTTCTGGTGAAACATAAATGTAAAGTTGATTACAAATCCTGGTTACTCAATTTAACGATAATTATGAAACATTTAGTATTCCGATAATAAATAGGTTTATAGATTCAAAACTTATACCAGCTAGATGTGAAATTATAAAACATCTAAACAATTTCGACATTCATGAAGACAGCGTTATTTTGTCAGAAGAAATATGTCCTGGAGTGTTTTGTGCAAACAAAGTGAACAAAGAAAACCGTTGCGTTAAAATTATCAACACAACAACCAAGGATGTCTTATTAAAATTTCGTGCCTAAACATGAATCACTTGCAAATTTTTATTATTGTACTATTTCAAACAATGCGACTGAAAGAGCGCAAAAATGAACTGAACATTGAAAATAATGGCCCCCTTGTCAAAGATAAACTCGAAAAACTTTGCATTGAATTCAGCGATATTTTCTCACTTCAAGGTGATACGCTATCGGAGAACAATTTTTACAAACAAGATATAACTCTCAATGACAGCAAACCCAGATACATAATAAATTAAAGGGTAGTGTCCTATACACGACCGCAGTATGACGTAGAACCACGCAAAGATGATGTATTTCATGCAATTTTGACTATTATACTCTTAAATTTTCAAGTAATTCAATGTTTCGGTTATGGTTCACTTTTTTTCTCCGTGATTTGTTTTCCATAAGGTACGATTATGACGACTGGGTTAGGGAAAATCGTTTATTTCATGAAAACAGTGATACCATTTTTACATTTTTTCAAATGTTTTTTGTGGAAAAATGAAAAAAAAAACATTTATTTCAGCAAATTTGTTATGTAATATCCTATCGATTGGCTTATTTTGATTTTATTTTCATCTATAAATGACAAAGTTGCAAGCGTTCAAAACCTAACACAATTTCATCACACATATTTTTTGATTTGCACCCCAGTATAGTCGACAAAGACGTAGTTCTACGTCAAAATTACAGATTACCCGAATCTCAAAAACAAGAGATTTTCAACCAAATTCAAACAATGCTCAATGATGGAATAATTCAAAATTCAACCTCACCATACAACTCACCTATCCTACTTGTCCCTAAGAAATCCACTACAAACGAAAGCAAAAAATGGCGGCTAGTTATTGATTACCGTCAGCTTAATAAGAATATAACTCCAGATAAATTTCCGCTCCCACGGATAGACGAAATTTTGGATCACTTGGGGCGAGCTAGATATTTTTCAACGCTTGACCTGATGTCCGGATTTGATCAAATCCCTTTAAATGAAAGTTCATTATGAATTTAATAGAATTCCTTTTGGCCTTAATATCAGCCCAAATTCCATTCAACGAATGATGTCTACCCGAGCAGAGAATGAAAACAAAATGAAAACTAAGTTTGATATTTTGATATAAGCGTTCGTGATAACATATTTTGCTTACCGTGTGATCGCGTTAAAAGTAATCATAACAAAAATTAGATCTAAATGGTATATGAAGGACATTAAAAAGATAACAAATAATGTTTTCTTGATAAAAAATCCATGTCTGCATTTTGATATTAGTAATTTCGTTAATAATAAACAAAATAACTAATCAATACGTTATTATAACTATGGTAGGAAAACAAAAAAATAAAAACAAAAACTAAATTAGTTATTATTTTGATATCATGATATTAAATTTCGTTATCTGAAATCTTTTGGTTGATATCAAGATTCAAAATCAAAAAATGTTAGCGTTAGCGTTGTTATGATATACTTCGTAGATTGGATACTAGCGACACTCACGTCTCTTCTGAAATTCTCAGTTAGACTACTTTCAGGAATAATGCTGGGGAGTAAACATTGGCTCCAATCTAAACAAGAGTAACAGAAGCATGACTGTCACTATTACCGGCCACACCCATCTTTACCATAACTAGGGATAGGGAAGGAAATGTTGATGCAGTACTTACTTAACGAGAGGCCACCGACTTAGCGACACCCTCATAAGTGCTACGGAGTTGGAGGGTTGGGTATGGTATTCGGTAGGATTCACCTCAAGTTGGCGATGCAACCAAAAGTATGTATTGTTTATTTGTTGTTTATTTAATCTCTCGATAGCCGGCTATTGAAAGAACATATTCATTTTGTTTAGTGATCATGAATTTTAGGAGTGATGACGGAGAGCTTAGGATTAAACCCATGATTTTCTGCTCAGTAAGCAAACACGATCCCTCCAGGGTCATCGAGCATCTCAGAACCATAACGCTTCGCGACAATACAGGGCTACGTTTTCGCTTGATATGCAAATAGTTTCCGAGGTTAATATTTGTTCCTTCTGAACGGGTTTTGTCAAGGCGAAGTGGACTGTACTGGGCTGGAGCGAACGGAGTTGGCTAGCGTCAATCGAAGTTCTAAACTCAGAAGCTCTGAAAAGAGCTGGGGGGTTTGACGCTGCTCTCCGGGACACGGTGGACATGCAGTAGAAATGACGAATGCTGCCGACTACACTAGACACTACTGTTTTATTTCTCTTTGCTTCTTAATATAACGTTTTACAGCTGCTGCTGCTGCGAACGGATGCTCGGTTGGATTCAAACTTAAACTTATGCACGCTACTGCGGGGATTTTTATAGAACGGCACCGACCGTTTGCTCGTTGCTGATTGGTCGACGTTTTTCTCCTCTCTTTCGGCGGTAGGCGGAACATCCTCCCCCCGGTTGAGAGATCTCAACACCTTTTGGAAGTCGGAGGGTTTTGACGGGAATCATTATCCTCGATGGGCAGAATGGACACCTTATTGATGGGACGTCGATACGTGGTTCCATTCACGAAGAGATCAACTGCTCGGACCAGGCCGTCGGTTCCAGGATAGACGGCTACGATGCGACCTAACTTCCAGTTGAGTGGTGGTTGGTTACGATCGTGAAGCAACACGATCATGTCTTCCCGAATGTTCGGCTTCTCTTGTCGATTTTTCTTCCGAGGCTGCAAGGTATTTAAATAATCCCGGCTCCAGGCACGCCAGAATTGCTCGCGCATAAGTTGGAGATGTTGCCACCGTGTCAAGCGGGATGCTTTGACGTTCTCTAGGGAAGGTTCAGCTGGGGCGATCAGCGGTCGTCCAATCAAATAATGCGCTGGAGTTATCACCAGCGGGTCCACCTGGTCGTTGGAAATTGCGAACAATGGTCGGGAGTTCAAGACGGCCTCGATTTCTGACAGGATCGTACACAATTCCACGAACGTTAGATTCGTATTGCCGACTACCCGCTTCAAATGGGTTTTGGCCGACTTCACGGCTGCCTCCCACAAACCACCGAACTCGGGTGCGTCGGGTGGAATGAAATTCCACTCAATTTCATGATTGCGGCAGAAAGATTCGATGGTGTCCACGGCGTGTTGGTCACAAAACTGATGGTAAAGGTTGTTCAATTCGTGGTGAGCACCACGAAAATTGGTTGCGTTGTCCGAATGGATTTCTTGGACCATTCCACGGCGAGCAATAAATCGTCGAAGGGACGCCATGAAGACATCGGTACTCAAATCGGAGACGCCCTCCAAATGGACGGCTTTGGTTGCCATGCAAACATAAACGGCCACGTACGACTTCACCAAAGTTGGACAACGTGTGCCTTGCTTGGTCCAGAAAGGCCCGGTCACAGCGAAGGGGGGCGACGGCACTACTCTCGATACTGGCAGGTTTCCCATCAATTGGTTGGGAGTGGTAGGATTTGTCCGGAAGCATCTCACGCACCGGCGTGTGATAAATCGGATGGTGGATCTTGCGTTCAGCAACCAATAACGTTGTCTCATGGCGTTCATCAGGCCCGTTTGCCCGACGTGAAGGAGCTCGACGTGCATTTGTTGAATTAGTAGTCTTACTACCGGATCCTTATCTGGCAGAATGATTGGATGGCGACTTTCGAATGGTAATTGGGAGCGGTCCAACCGACCGGCCGTGGTAAATTGGACGAAGACCTCCGAGTCTCTTGCAGGGTTTGTTTGCCAGAATTAGCTTAATCTCGTCGGAGAAATGTGCCTTCTGCAAAACTTGCATGATGAATTCAGATGAGCGGCGTAACTGACGGACGGTCAGATGGGGCTTTATCTCTCGATTGGTCGGGTCCTTTTTCCGACAATTGGCAGTGAATCGCAGGACATAGCCCACAACTCGTTGGATTTTGCGGAAGTTACTGAGCTTTGGAAGAAAAGATAGGAAGTCCATACTCACATCTGGCCCTGCTACCAAGGCCTTAAATTCCGGTAGCTTCTCGTCTGGAACGTCTTCAGGGGCATCTACGTAGTACTCAACTCTTTGCAGGAATTCGGGCCCATTCCACCAAAGGCTGTTGTGCTTCAGGGATTCAACTAGTTGACCTCGGGATACGATGTCTGCTGGGTTCTGTTGAGACCGGACATACTCCCACCGGTACTTACTGGTATGCTCTTGTATAATTGCGATTCGATTCCGTACAAACAACTGTAGCTGGTTGAGAGGTTTCTTAATCCAAGCGAGGACTACCGTACTGTCGCACCACAGGACTATTTCACGGAAAGTCATATCCAGGGCTGGTAACACCTTCTGTACCAACCGGGTTAGTAGGAGAGCGGCGCACAATTCCTTTCGTGGGATGGACAGCTCTTTTAGGGGAGCCAGTTTCGATTTGCTGGTGAGGAGACGAAGCTTCGCCGAGCCATCGCCAAAAATACTTCGCAAAAAGATGCAGGCTCCATAAGCCTTGTTGGAGGCATCAGAGAAGCCATGCAGCTCGTAGGCGACCACGTTGTCCATCGTCACGCGCCTTGGGATCTCGATCACGTGAAGATGCGACAAGGAATCTTGGAGTTGTCGCCACTGCTGTGCGATTTCTTCGTCAACCGGGTCGTCCCACCCGGACTTAAGCTGCCACAATTTCTGCGCTAGAAGCTTTGCCAAAACAATGACCGGTAAAACCAGTCCCAGGGGGTCAAAAAACTTGGCGATCTCGGAGTACATCGTTCTTTTCGTGGGCCGTTGCGGATGCAATGTTGGATTTGGACGATAGGCTATGAGTATCGAGTCTGCAGAGGGATCCCAGAGTAAACCAAGCACCTTGATGGCTTCATTCACTCCATGCTCTTCCAACGTGATCCTTTTTTCTTGATCCTCCACGGGAATATGGTCTAGGAATTCCGGTGAATTTGAACACCACTTGTGTATGGGGAAAACTCCTTGTCCAAGGAGCTGCTTCAGCTGTTGTTGAGCCTCGATAGCGTCCTCCACCGAGTCTGCAGAGGGAGAGTACATCGTCCATGTACGTTTCTTCTTTCACAACACGAGCGGCGACAGGAAAGTCCTCACCATCCTCTTCGACGAGCTTCAGCAAACACCTGGTTGCTTGATATGGTGCCGATGCCGTACCTTACCGTACGTAACGGTACAGAGTTCCAAGACTCGTAGGGGTAACGATGGGTGCTCTCTCCAAAAGATTCGAAGGAAACTACGATCCAACAGGGCTCAAATACTCAATGACGGTACATTTTAGAGATGTCTCCGGTGATGGCAACCTTGAATTTTCGGAACCGTAGCGCGATATGGTGCAGATCGTTCTGTACTACTGGACCAACTTGCAGTACATCGTTCAGGGAGAGTTCCGATGGCGACAACTTTGCACTTGCGTCGAACACGAGTCGACATTTCGTACTCGAGCTGGACGGACGTAACACTGCATGATGCGGCAAATAGAAGGTTTGCTTGTTGGGTGGATCTTCAGACTCGTTGATCTCGGTGCAGTGGCCGAGAGCTTCGTACTCCCGGATGAAGTTCACGTACTGAGCCTGCAGTTCGGGATTGCGGATTAATCGCTTCTCCAACATCAGGAATCTTTTCAAAGCTAGACTGCGACAGTTATCCAATTGGGGAAGATTGTCCTTGAACGGCAGTTTCACGATGAATCTTCCAGTTTCGTCACGTTGGTAGGTGGAAAGGAAGTGGGCTTCGCATGCTGCTTCCTCGGTCGACAGCTTGGGAACGCCCGGCACCTCCTCGACTTGCCAGAACCGGTGCATCCTTTGCTCAATGTCTTCAACGGCTGTGTTGGATTGGAGCGACACGTTTGACACGAGCTGATCATTGATGGCACCTGCTACGATCCACCCCAGATAAGTGTCTCGCAATTGTGGAAGACCTTCGGCTAGGCTCAGCTGACCAGGTTTCAGGATATCGAAGAATAACTCCCCACCGATCAGCAAGTCCACTTTATCCGGACTGTGGAACTTGGGATCAGCTAGGATTACCCCTTCAGGGATCGTCCATTTGGTGATGTCTATTCTCGATGCAGGGATCGTGCCGGTCACTCTCGGGGTAACCAGACACTCGAGGCTTGCGTGGAAATTGGATACACGGGACTGGAACCTGACCACCACCTTGTCTCGGGCGAGGGACCGTAGGGCGTTGATTTCCACGATCGGAACGTTGGCTGGTTTCTTTGGGAGGCCTAGGCGGTTAACCATCTCTTCGGTTACAAAGTTGAATTGGGAGCCGCTGTCCAACAGTACCCGGCACGGATATGGCTGGTTATCTTTATCCAATACATGTACCACTGCGGTCAGCAAAAGTACCGTCTTGGGAAATGAGACAACATTCGACGAACAGGTTGTTGACACTGGTGGATCCACTGGGGCAGGAATCGTCTGCACCGACATCGGTTGATTCGGAGCAGCCGGAACAGAAGCGGGCTTGCCACTGCTTCCGCGGAAACGTTGGACTTCTTCTCATAGCGGGATACCCCATCATCATGGAGCAACGTGTGGTGTCGGCGTTGACACTTGTGGCACGATTTGTCTGAAGGGCAGTCCTTGGATCGATGCCCTTTGCGCAAGCAGTTGAAGCAGACTCCAGCAGTTCGTATCTTCTCATTCTTTTGGGCAGGAGTACCCTAATATAAATGTTATGGTTAATTTGCTTAACGACGTGTTCGGGGTATCATCCAAACCATTTGTGGAATAGTTCAATAATTTGGGTTATCGTTCGTTTATGGTAAATTTTTATTAGGGTAAGGTTGGACAAGGCCGAGCACTGGTGGTTGTGGTGTGAACCAACACAAATTTCACACAAGTTCATCAGTTGGGATGGGCTGGTCGATGCTGCATGGCTCTTTTGCGGATGGATCTTCGATGGTGGAAGAGCTTGCTTCTGTTTCGAGCTGGATTTGCTAGTCTGGAATGCCGCCTCGCAATTCTCGAGGATTTGGCACCTGGACTTCAGGAAGGCGATGGTTGGTTCGTATTTGGGAAGATGTCCTTTTTTCTGGATCCCTTCCCAGGCTTTGCGGGTCGATTTGTCGAGCGCGGAGACGATCTGATACACAATCATGTGCTCCTAAACGCCAGTGATCTGCTGCTGGAGGAACTTCAGACTCTCGACGTGGTGAGTAACTTCGGTTAGCAGACCTCTCAGCTCCTTATGGGTCTCCGATGACATGTCTCGTAGTGAAAACAGACCACGGATGTGGGTTTCTACGAGAACCCGCTGTTTTTTTAGTAGCGATCCTCCAAAATGTCCCAAGCTTGTTGATAATTCCCTTCACTAAGGATCTTGGTATTCAATACACCAGCTGCATCTCCGATGAGCGCCTTATCGAGGTGATACAGTTTTATGGCGTCTCTATCTCCCAAGTGGGCCATCAAATCCTGGAAGACGGCTTTGAATTTAGGCCAACCAGAGTAATTGCCATCGAATGTTTGGAATTGGTGCACTGAGCGGCTGCTGCTGGACGACCACCTGCGGGTTATGGACGGTTGTCGGCGATGGAGTGGCCGCGTTTGCTTGTGCTTCCAGCAACAACTCCTGCACGGCATCGGTAACGTTGTTGTAGAGATCTTCAAAGTTGGCATATTCATGTTCTTGCTCGTCCAGCGCATCATCTGGAAGAAGCGCCAGTCCTTTGCTGTGGAATCCGCTGTACTCGGTGTACACAACGGACAGGTGCTTGGACATATTTGTCAGTTGCGCCAAAGTTGGTGGCTTTCCACTAATGAGATAACGCCGAATGCGCACAATCTTTTGCTTCACTTGTTCACGTTGCCACCCTGCCCTTTTTTTTGCAGATTCAGGATCCATTGCTGCTTCCCACTCGAAGCCGTGAAATGAACCGGAACTGCTAACTGGCAACCTAGGGATAGGGTTCGCTTGCTGGTTTTGTTCAGCGTCTTCTGGTGCCATTTATGACACCTCATTCACTACGCGGCGTATTTCAAATCTCGAAACCACAACAAAACGTATTTTTTTTTCCGAAAACGAACTTCTCACTCTTGCACGTTCAAACACGTTCGTTCTAAATGCTCCGCGTCGAGTCGCAAGCGTAGCAGCAGAAGCAGTTGTTTCGTTTTGGTTGGGTACAGTTTGTGTGTCGTAGCACGTCAGTTTCCACTCAACGGGAACGGTTGCTTCGGAATGGCTCGTGATCCGGTTCGTGACGGACCAAATTGATGTTCCTTCTGAACGGGTTTTGTCAAGGCGAAGTGGACTGTACTGGGCTGGAGCGAACGGAGTTGGCTAGCGTCAATCGAAGTTCTAAACTCAGAAGCTCTGAAAAGAGCTGGGGGGTTTGACGCTGCTCTCCGAGACACGGTGGACATGCAGTAGAAATGACGAATGCTGCCGACTACACAATACACTACTGTTTTATTTCTCTTTGCTTCTTAATACAACGTTTTACAGCTGCTGCTGCTGCGAACGGATGCTCGGTTGGATTCAAACTTAAACTTATGCACGCTACTGCGGGGATTTTTATAGAACGGCACCGACTGTTTGCTCGTTGCTGATAGGTCGACGTTTTTCTCCTCTCTTTCGGCGGTAGGCGGAACAATATTCAATATCAAATATACAAATGATGGTGGCGATTTATTGTGCTGTGGAAGAGCTTGGGGTTAAATCCATGATTTTCTGCTCAGTAAGCGATCTCTCCAGGGTCATCGAGCATCTCATAATCCACAGCGCTTCGCGTCAAAGTACGAATATATGGATGAACTATCTATTATTGAATAACTATTATTTACATGAAAGAAATAAAATATAAACTACAAACAAAACGTGACTACTAAAATCTCAAAAAGATATTCTCACAATTATATTTCACGCAACCAGGAATTTTAAACCATTAGACGCTATAATGATACTCTGCACATGTTAGACACAAGAAGAGGCCAAAAAGCAAGCGTCCGACACACAAAACCCGCCAAATCCACTTGCAGTCACAATCAACGATTCTACGAATCGCGAGCGCTCACGAATCATAAAACCGCCGACTGCGACACTCTGAAAGCGAAATTGACAGGCTCTATGCGTCAAACACCCGCCCTCCAATTTCCTCCCTCATCCAACAACACAAATCTCCATTACAACATCTAACGAATTCAAAACTCATCTATAGCAAGTGAGTGGAAGCAACCCTGCATGCAATCATTCTTCATGATACACTTTTTCTGCCTATCTTTCTATTGGGCCTGTGGACATGCGTTAGTTTCGAAACTTCTAACCAAACTAGGAAAATTTTCAGATCACGAAAAAAAAAAAACTTGAAAAAAAAACTTTCAAAGGTAATTACAAGTAAAATAAATATTGATTATTTAACGCACAAACGAGCAAGTAATATTAAATCTCTTATATCGTATGCTAATGCTAATTGACTGTAACACAAATAATATGCTTAAATAAAATAAAATATTAATAAAGTGATATGCAAAATTTACTAGAAGATCATTACTTTATTGGTGAGATGTTTCTAATAAGCCCTCCCAATTCCTCTGTATACAGAACAAATCTGATACTATAATCAGAATTGCTCAGTCTGCATGAAGTAGCCGATTCATCAAGGAAGTTCTATTAACAACCAAGAATTAATCGTTTGAGGCATACTGAAGCATTAAGAAGGTGATATGTGTCACTATAGGAACGATGATGACATTGTTGCAAATATAAAGAAATTAAACATAACCCTTTGCTTCAGTACCGTCAACCTCCATGTCCATGGGGGGGAGGTATGCAATTTCAGCCTCAGCGTGCTCAACAAAAACTCTTCAGACCCACCATGATCACAGATAAAGGGAACTTTAAAGTACAAAAACATCACTGAAGACATCAAACGTCTAAAACCAGAATCAAAAGCACTTGCATGACTATCTTGACGTTCCCAGTCGATCTCAACATGTGAAAATTGTGCGCTCGACAAATTACAGCATGAACGTGGCTCTTCGAAAAGATGTCCAAGACAAAATTGTAGAAAACTGATAGATGGTATCGAAACAATTAAAAAAATAAACAGGAACGAACTCACCAAATGAACGATGGTTTGCACGTGAAGCCAATACTTGAAAGACTGTTGCATCTCCTAATTCTAGCTTAACATTTTACAACATTCCGTCGGATCTTCAAAGAAGCTCTTGCACCTGCCTCCAATCAGAATCATCGGGCCAGATTGCCAATCGCCTAATAAAAGTTCTGATGAAAAGGATTATGATAAACGAAAACACTTTCGAATGCATTTCCAACCGATCACTTAGTGAAGTGATTCTTGCACTAAAATTAAAAAACGCCAAGAAAAATTAAACCGTCCAAGATTCAAAATCAAAAAAAAAAGAAAAAAAATGTCAATAAAGTGCGAATGGTGCCATATTAAAGTACAGAACTGGAAATAATCATCCAGTGGTACAAATTGCAAGAAAGTATATAATGAATCGCATTTGTCATTATAGACAAATAACAAAGTTAAAATATGACACACGATTGAAGTTTATTACATCGAATAGCATAGAAATAGGCGATGTGAAGTTTTTAAATTTAGAGTTTCGTTTTCATGACAAATTCTAGTGGAATTATATTCAATATATGAATAGGACACACGAATCATGTAAAAAATTAGTCTACGATGACTCTTATATCATTATGAATGATAAATTCCTTCGCATCGAACATATTTTAATAGACATTAATGACGATATTTATTTTGTTGGGAGACGAACAGGACGAAATCAATTTTATATCGATTTGTAAATTCAATTCGCAGGTAGATTGATATCAATAAATGTTGTAAAACAACACTGTAAAAATCATAATTTTCTTTGTTATGTTCATTAAGAAACCTGATTGACTCGTAAGAAGAAAAAATAAAAATAAATGTAGATTTTAGTGATAAATGTTGTTGGCGCGTTTACCGTGGCCAACTCCGGTGGGTTGGAAGTGGACTGTATTTCGTTCGGATTGAAAGATTCAACACACTAATCAAATTATCACCTTAACACTACTTTTATTCTAACTAGTTCACTATTTCTCTACAGATTGCTTTCTTACTTCACTGGATGTAACTTGGATGGTGGTCGGAATAATACTCAAAAAAACGCTGGCTGGCTGTGTCGCTTTTATAGCAGTCGTCCTATCGTATTTTGCTACTTTTGGTCCTATATACTTGCCTGCCGTGCGCTACGGCGAGCAGCAGGCAGCAGCATGTTGAAGAGAAGTATATAGTGCTTCTCCCTTCTCGTTCGGTGTCCTTAAAATTCTACCTGGAGTGCGTTGTTGCCACGATGGGTGGTTTGAATGACGATCGTTTGCGTTGTGTTTTGGAAGCTACTATAGCTTGTTTCGCACGGAACATACTCCGCCCGGTTGACTCGTAGATTCAACATCACTCAGGGTTGGTGGCTCGTTGTCCTCAATCGGCAAAACTGCGATCCGGTTGATCGGTCGTCGGTAGGTAGATCCGTTAGACGACACATCGATGGCTCGGACCAATCCATCTGGCCCTGGGAATACCTGCATGATGCGGCCTAGCTTCCAGTTAAGCGGTGGTTGATTTTTGTCCTCCAGTAGAACTACCATTCCTGGGCGAAGGTTGGATGTCGTCTTGGTATTCTTTGACCTCGGTTGAAGGCTGCACAAATAATCTCTGGACCAAGATTTCCAAAAATCCTCACGCATCTTCTGTAGATGTTGCCATCTTTTCAGACGATTAATTTGGATGTCTTCAAGGGATGGTTCCGGAACGGCTGTAAGTGGTCTACCAATCAAGTAATGAGCTGGCGTAATTACGTTTATGTCGGCTGTATCGGAGGAAATCGAAAACAGTGGCCTAGAGTTGAGAACTGCTTCGATTTCGGTGAGTATGGTTGTTAGCTCTTCAAATGACAATTTGGAATAGCCAACCACTCTGACCAAATGTCTCTTTGTCGATTTTACAGCGGCCTCCCACAAGCCACCGAACTCGGGTGCGTTCGACGGTATGAAATGCCACTCGATCTCTTTTGGCTGACAGAAGGACTGGATACGTCCTGTGAACTGCTGATCCTGGAACTGTTGATATAGCTGGTGCAACTCGTGTTGTGCTCCTCGGAAGTTGGTGGCATTGTCAGAATGCAACTGTTGCACCATTCCTCTTCGGCTGATGAACCGTTGTAGCGCAGCTAAGAAGGCGTCGGATGTCAGATCAGACACGACCTCGAGATGCACTGCTTTTGTTACCATGCAAACAAATACTGCCACGTAAGCCTTGATGAGCCTGGATCGGTAATTTCCCATCTTTATCCAAAATGGGCCGGCGTAGTCGACACCAGTCACTGCAAACGGAGGTGCTGGATTTATCCTCGGTTGAGGAAGATTGCCCATCAGCTGCGTTGACATATTTGGATTTGTGCGGAAACATCTTACACAATTGCGGGTCACTTGCCGGATGGTTGAACGGGCGCTCAGCAACCAATACCTCTGGCGCATAGCAGCAATCAAGCCATTTTGCCCAAGGTGCAAATGCTCGATGTGCATTGTGCGGATTAGCTGCTTCGTCAGTGGATGTCTGTTCGGAAGGATAATCGGATTCTTCGTCTCGGCTCGTAGATTCGAATGTTGCAGGCGACCACCAACTCGAAGCAATCCATCGACGAACACTGGATTCAAGCCTCCTAGTTTGCGGCACGGTTTGTTGGTTTGGACACGACGTATTTCGTCAGCTAGCTCTGACTGTTGAACCATCCTCATAATGGTGAAATTCGATCGACGGAGTTCGGAAATAGTAACGTACCGGTTGAAGATACGTTGTGACCTGTTCTTGGTGCGGATGTTGGCGATGAATCGAAGATGCCATGATGCGTTCGATCTTCCTGAAGTCACTGAAGCGGGAAAACAGTGGAAACTGTTCCACCACAGCCGAAGTGACAATTTCGGTGCTTGTCATTTCGGGAAGCTGTTGGTTGGGGATATCGACTAACTCCTGTTCGTCGTACTCGAGTTTCGTGAGGAAACTTGGTCCGGTCCACCAAAGATTGTTTCTGCGCAAATCGTTTGGTAGCTGACCTCTGGACACGATGTCTGCTGGATTATCACCAGATCGGATGTAGCACCAGCGATATCCTGCAGTGGAGGTATTGATTTCGTGAATTCGGTTTCGGACAAAAATCTTGTGGCGATCGGCTGATCGTTTCATCCACGCCAGAACGATTTGACTGTCCGACCAGAGGACCACGTCACGGAATTCCATTTGCATGGCTGGGATAATCCTCTGAATGAGTCGAGTTAGTAGCAATGCGGCACACAATTCCTTTCGAGGCGTTGAAAGGTCATGTAGCGGAGCAACCTTTAACTTGCTACTCAGCAACTTCATCTTGGCGGAACCGTTGGAGAACAGGCTTCGAACATAAACACATGCACCATACGCCAATGATGATGCGTCGGCAAAACCGTGGATTTCGTAGGACACGGCGTCGTGGAACGTAACTCTTCTTGGTATGGCGATTTTGTCGAGTGCTGGCAAGGTATTTGCAAATTCAACCCATCGCTCCTGTATCGAGTCGTTGACGGGCTCATCCCAGCCAATCTTGTGCTTCCACAGCTGTTGCACTAGTAGCTTGGCGACGACAATCACTGGTGACATAAGTCCTAACGGGTCAAAAAGCTTGGCCACCTCGGAGTAGATGATACGCTTCGTTGATCGTTGATTCAAATCACATTGTGGCGGCCTTGCGATGAGGAAATGATCGGCTTTTGGATCCCAAAGCAAGCCTAGCACTTTGATGACTCCATTCGGTCCGCATTCTTCCAATGGAACGGGCTGTTCCAGTCGATCGTTTGGAATGTGGTCCAAAAACTCTTTTGAGTTGGAACACCACTTATGCAGCGAAAACCCTCCTCTCTTCAGTAAGCCTTCCAGCTGCCTTGCTGCTTCGAGGGCCTTCGGAAGTGAATTTGCACCGGAAAGTGCATCGTCGACGTAAAAATCCTCCTTGGCGATTTGCGCACCGTTCGGAAAATCGGTTGATTCATCATCGGCGAGCTGCTGCAAGCACCTGGTAGCTTGGAACGGAGCCGATGCTGTTCCATATGTAACCGTCGTGAGCTCCAAGACTCGGAGTGGCTCTGACGGCTGCTCACACCAAAAAACACGGAGATAGTGTGTGTCCCTTGGATGCATCTTGATTTGTCGATACATCTTCGGCACGTCGGCTGTGAATGCAACTGGGTACTTGCAGAACCTGAGTATGACGTCATAGAGTTCTTTCTGTACCACTGCACCGACTAGTAGAACCTCATTGAGTGAACGGTTGTTCACTGTTGGTTTGGCGCTGGCATCAAATACCACCCTGCACTTGATGATCGAACTTGATGGGCGAAGTACCGCATGGTGCGGCAGGTAGTAGTTTTGCTGGTGCGGTGGATCGTCTTCTTCTCGTACTTCGTGGCAGTGTCCCAGCTCTTCATACTCACGCATGAACTGAACATACTGCTCGTTCAAATCGGGGTTCCGCTGCAGCCTCCTCTGCAGCATCTGGAATCGCTTCAAAGCAACCGCTCGGCAGTCAATAAGCTCGTGCACGTTATCCTTGAACGGTAGCCTCACTTGGTATCGTCCATTTTCATCACGCTGGTGGGTGGCGACGAAATTGGCTTCACACTCCTGTTCTTCCTTCGTCAGAGGACTCGAATCTGGCACCGCTTCGAGCCTCCAAAATCCTTGAATAGATTCCTCGATGTCATCCAACGATACGATGAGCGAATGTTGTGGTTGATTGGCGTTGATCGTGTTAGTGAATACACCGCCTAAAACCCATCCAAGGCAGGTTTCACGGAGATCGGGGAGGTTGTCGTCGAGTTTGATATGTCCTGGTCGCATCAACTTGAAGAATAACTCTGCACCAAGAAGCATATCGATCTTGTCCGGTTTGTAGAATTCCGGATCGACTAGTTGGACGCCGAAGGGAATGTTCCAAGATGACACGTCGATTCTTGTTGGCGGGATGACACCTGTCACATTGGGCGTAACCAAACACTTCACGTGTGCTTGGAAGTCGGTGAGTCGAGATCGGATGTTGACCATCACCTTGTCGTGGGCTACAGTCCTGACGTCGTTGATGCCACAGATTGGAACGTTGACACGATGCTTCTGAATTCTTAAAAGATTTGCAAAATTGTTTGTTACGACAGTTACCTGAGAGCCGCTATCTAACAGTATTCGGCAAGAATGCTTTCGTCCAGCACGTTGACAACCGCTGTCAGCAGGAACACAGTTTTCGTGGAATCGGCGTAGTTACACGAGCAGGATGTGCTCGGTATATCTCTTCCGGATGGCGGGTTTGCTACCGTGCTGTTCGGTTGAACTGTGCGGGACTCTTCTTTCGGAACGGACACGTTGGCTTTCGGTTCTCGGTTTACCTCGTCGTTGTGAAGTTGTGTATGATGCCGATTCTGACACTTTTGGCAGCACCTCGGTGATGAACACTCCTTGGAGCTGTGCCCCTTGCGCAGGCAGTTGAAACACACACCAGTTGTGCGTACCTTCTCCATTCGTTTGTCAAAGGACATGTTACCAAGCGCATTGCATTGGTAGTTGCGATGTGCACCTTGGCAGAAATCACAAACCTCCTTGCTGATTGGTGTGGTTGCGGCGGCATGGACCTTCGGGTTGCTTGCTTTCGGTTGGAATGCTTGTACCTTCAGGGTCGATTTGGAAGCGGGCTGCGCATTAACCTTCTGGAAAGCTGTTTCGCAGTTCTCCAACATTTCACATCTCGATTGCAGGAACGTAATGGTTTGCGCATACTTGGGTAGCACGCCCTTCTTCTGTGTGCCTTCCCATGCCATCCTGGTCGTGTTGTCCATGGCGGTCGTCAGCATATGAACCAGAAACAAATCGGAAATACCGAGGAATTCCTGTTCAAGATACTTCAGGCTCTCGACGTGGCGGGTGCACTCATCGAGCAGACGTCGCACCTCCTTGTGGGATCCGGATGACATTCCTTGCAAGTTGAACAGACCACGAACGTGCGTCTCGACTATGATCCTTTTGTTTCTTGGAATATGGCCTTGAACTTCGGCCAGTTGGCATAATCACCATCGAAGGTGGGAATTGGAGCCTTCAACGGTTGCTGTTGGACGATGATTTGTTGTTGCGGGGCTTGAGCACGAACACTTGCATTTTCGTGTGCCATGATTAGCTCATCGATGGTCGTGCGTACGAAGTTGTATCGGTCTTCAAATGCGACATAAACTTCCTCCTGCTGTTGAAAACTTTCTTGGGGAATGATAGCAACCAGTTTGCTATGCACTGCGCTGTATTCGTTGTAGGCCACATCGATATTCTTCATGTACGTCCTGAGTTGTGAGAGGCTCACCAAGTTTCGAGCGGCAACAAGCGCCCTTTGCACACGCACTACTTTCATGGTGAACTGGTTTCGCTGGCGGGAAAGCGACGTTATTTCCTTCACGGTTTCGGAATCAGCACTGATTTCCCATTCTGCAAATCCTTCGAATATTGCTGACTCGTCGTACTGCTTCTCCTTGCCAGCAGGCTTACCTTTCGGGGTTCGATCCGCTGGCATAATGAACTCGTTGTCACGTCGTACGTTACACACAGCACGAGTACGTATGGTTTCGGAATAGCGGTTCTGTAGAAAAATCCTTCGGCGGGCGGATTGAAACTTGCGAATCGGATTCGGAAGCGGCGGTGATCAATAATTGATTCCTCTCCTGGCGGTACACGTCGTGGTTGGCACACCACGGAAGCGTGTCGGAATACACTCGGTCGAGTGGCGATGGTGTCGAATCCTTTCCTACGGGCGGCGCTGGATCCGGTTCGAAGGACCACTATGTTGGCGCGTTTACCGTGGCCAACTCCGGTGGGTTGGAAGTGGACTGTATTTCGTTCGGATTGAAAGATTCAACACACTAATCAAATTATCACCTTAACACTACTTTTATTCTAACTAGTTCACTATTTCTCTACAGATTGCTTTCTTACTTCACTGGATGTAACTTGGATGGTGGTCGGAATAATACTCAAAAAAACGCTGGCTGGCTGTGTCGCTTTTATAGCAGTCGTCCTATCGTATTTTGCTACTTTTGGTCCTATATACTTGCCTGCCGTGCGCTACGGCGAGCAACAAGCAGCAGCATGTTGAAGAGAAGTATATAGTGCTTCTCCTTTCTCGTTCGGTGTCCTTAAAATTCTACCTGTACTGCGTTGTTGCCACGATGGGTGGTTTGAATGACGATCGTTTGCGTTGTGTTTTGGAAGCTACTATAGCTTGTTTCGCACGGAACAAATGTGGAAGCTTTTTTGTTTATAAAATATCAAATTTTGTTTTTAATTATATTTTTTAGAAATATCAAAACAATATCAACATATGAATTAATGAAATAGCTTATCAAAATATGTTGTCACCATGATTTCAAAAATAAAATTAGATATCATTTTGATAGTATTTTATATCCGACTTTGCTCGGGTTGCTGCATTCCAGTGTTGCTCATTTGTTGGTTTGTATGTAAATAGAGAGATAATAGTGGAAAATAGAGAAAAAATAAAGTTAAGGTTAAATAATATTAGTCAACATGTTTATTAAACCATTTATTGTATTTATTTATTGTGTGCAATCCGAAAGAATATAAGAAAACCATAGATCATATTATTTTATAATAAAATAAATGTAAATAACATTGATTTGCTATTTGATACACCTTCTGGTCCTTCAGGATCTGCAGGACAACTATTATCTGTAAATGAAAATGATAGTTATAATGATATAATTAAATTTTAGATATATGAAATAAAAATAATTTACTGATCATGCAATATATAAAATATAATGAATGTAAACTATACAAGTATTACAAAATACAAATAACCTCGATTTTAGTTAACCTCAGTACATTTAACTGATTTCAACTTTTGATATTTTATTGGAATTGAAACAAACACTTTATTATGCACCATGAAATGGCTTAACGCAATATGGAACGCTTTTTAAAATATGGGTAAACTTTAATAATGAATCAATAGTCAGAATTGAGGTTCCCTCCCCTTGGCTTGTTTTTGCATCTTGCTGTTGGTTAGCGGGCTTAATTTCATGCTTTATGGTGGAGTGTTGGAGACGATAGGTTTAGGGCCGGCGTTGCTGGCTAATGCCGCGATAGAATGGCGTCATGGGCAGGCAATGGAGATTACTAAGCTTCCCCTCTCTGATGAACCACTACATGAGAAAACCAAAGATCAAGTCCAGCAGTGATAGTATCACACTTGTTACTCCTTTGATTGAGAGCCGCGTCGTAGGTAAAAAAGTCAAGATCATAGGTATAAAAATGAAACTACAATGTGTTGAATCGGAACCTACCTAACTAATAAAAACCAAAGATTTACATACAAGAACATCAGGGAGACCAAATCGAGCAAAAACATTAAGAAACTTTTTTAGAACCTTTTTACAATCTGTTCCGTAACGTATGTAATCTAATTCCACCCACTTCGAGTAGCTGTCTACGATTAACAGAAAAACTTTTTCACTAAGATGAAAAAAATCTGCGTGAACCCGACTAAACGGTCGACTGGTGGGTGCCCATGACGTTTCAGATTTTTCTTGGGAACGACTAGAGTACGGTTGCAAACATCACAACTCTTAACATAATACTTCAGGTCAGCATTAATGCCAAACCAAAAAACTGTTCGACGAGCAAGCTGTTTGATCTTTACGATTAACGCATGGTTTGCATGCAACAGTTTCATAATACTTTGTTGTAAACATTTCGGCACAACTACTCGATTACGGAACAGAAGGCAATCCTCTATAAACTCGAGATCGTAAGCTTGAGCCTTAACGTCCTTCAATTCTCGCTCGACTCTTTCCGGCCACCCATACTGAAGATACTTAATTATTTGTGAAAGAAAAACATCTTTTTTAGTTTCAGTAGCAATAGTTTTAAAATCAATTGGAAGTTCGTTTGTAAAATTCAAATTATTTACGTATTCCCTGTCTAAACTCCGAGATACTGTACAAGGATGGGGAAATCTGGAGCAGAAATCTGCATTACCCATTTTCTTAGATGGTCGGTAACGGATTTCAAAACTATAAATAGAGAGCTCCATAATGTATCAAAAATCGTATGACAAAAATCGCATTTTTCCTCTCCTTTCCAAATACTCCAAGAAAAGGTTTATGATCGGTGTAGATCACAAAATGCTGGCCGTACAAATAACGATGAAACTTCTTGACGCAACTTACCACGGTTAACGCCTCAAGATGTAAAATCGGATATTTCCGTTGAGAGTCATTCAGCGTGAACGATAGCCACATGCATCGGTGACTACAATAAGTGGTTTCTTGGGATCGAAAAAATGTAAAACGTTCGGTTTCAACAAATATTTTTTGCAGTTTTCAAAATTTTCATTGCATTTCAAATCCTAAACGAACTTGGAATCCTTTTTAAGTAATTTATAGAAACAGCTCAATTTGGACGATAGATTTGGTATAAATTTACCGTAAAAATTTATAAGTCCAAGAAATGCTTTAAGTTCAGTTGGATTATTAGGATGTTTAGCATTAGCAAAGTCTGTTGTTTAGCAGGATGTTTAGCAGTCGGGGCCTCATAGCCTAGTCAGTAAAGGCACGGTATTACCAAGCCGGAGGCGGCGGGTTCTCGATTCCCGGTCCGGTCGAGGGAATCTTTTGGGTTGGAAATTTTCTCGACTTCCCTGGGCATAATAGAGTATCATTGTGCTTGCCACACAATATACAAATTCATGCATTGGTATTGGCATCGAAAGCTCTCAATTAATAACTGTGGAAGTGCATTTAGAACACTAAGTTGAGAGCACGCAATAAGCTAATAAGCGCTAAGCAATAAGCTTGAAATGCGAATAAGAAGAAGAAGAAGCATTAGAAATAGTTTCTATTTTGTCAGGACATGGCAAAAGTCCATTTCCGGTTATGACATGTCCTAGAAATGAAAGTTCTTCAACAACAAATTTACATTTATGTAATTTTACTTTTATTTTTGCTTTTTCCAAGCGGTCAAGTACCATAAAAAGTTTAGTTTTACACTCATTGAAATCTTTTCCTGCGATTAGCACATCGTCAAGGTAGCATGACACTCCATCTATACCTTGTAAGATTATTATTATTTATTATTTAGCTTTATTTAGGAGGCTTTCAGCCTTAGGCTGGTTCGCCTCCATACCTTGTAAGACTTGGTCCATGACCTTTTGAAAAATCGCTGCAGAAGAGGCGGCCCCTTGTGGGAGCCGGTTATACGTGTATAACCCTTTAATCGTGTTGATGGTCATGAATTTTCTGGACCTCTCTGATAGCTGCAACTGAGTGTAAGCTCCCGCTAAGTCAAGCGAGCAGAATACTTTTACACCCCGCGAGAGTTGCAAAAATATCTTGGGCTAAAGGAAGCGGGTATGTATTAGGCACAATCAATCTATTAATAGATACCTTACAATCTATGACTAAACGAATATCATTGTCTTTTTTCACTATTGCCACAACTGGTGAAGCCCACTCACTGGCTTCAATTGGCGTTATAATTCCACTATCCTCCAGTGAGACCAAATGCTGTATTACTTTTTCTTTTAGACGCAAAGGTACAGTGTACGCCTTTTTGAAAATAGGCGCACCTTCCCGCATTACAAGCTCTCCTTCAAAACCTTCAATAGGTGTAGAAAAATCTTTACTAAAAACAGCGTTTGATTTTTGTTTTATCGCATCAACCACTCCTGCTTTATCTTCACTTTCAGCTACGTTGTTAATATTTGTAGGTTGCAAAAAATTAGTTGTCCACCCTTTGAAAAACACATCAAGCCAGTCTCGTCCAATAAGTGGCATGAAATTGGTACAACCTTTAAGAACTATCAAGTTAACATTTGCAATCATGTTCCTCATAGACACTGACACGTTTAAAACACCCAAAATTTCTAACCTGGCTCCGTCAACGACAGACAACTTTCGCTGACACGTTTTAA